AGCATGCAGTCATCCACCAAATTGATCAGGGGGCTCCGATTTTTCACAAAACAAAGATTATGCACATCCACCCAAGTAGTGAAACGCTCTGTGGGCTTGCTGGAGTAAAGCAAACTCGAACAGAAACGGCTTTCACACCTACGCCCAAACCCCAAACAGACCTTGCCTTCGTCCTGCAAGTATGCTGCTGGGTGGCTTGAGCGAGATCGAGTATCGCAGCACTCGCTCGGCGTCGAGCTGGTTTTGGCCGCATCCTTGCTTGGTCTTCCTAGTCCTAGAGGCTTCGCCTTGGGAGGAGGGGCGCGAGCTACGGCAGGATGACCGACATCAGCTCGGGCCCCAGCGCATGAGGAAGCGGGCGAAGCCTCGGCTTCTCATCACTTCTCATCTGGAAAAGGTGCAACTTCCTTTAGAGGCTTCAGTCATCTTTAGGCATCTGCACGGAATCAGACGAAACCCGCAGTGAACCAACCGCTCGCTGGGCTGTCGCTGGCAGCACTGCCGGCCTCTCTCCTACTGAAGCCAAGATGCTGCACCAAGCCTGAGCGACCAGGAGGCCAAAAAAAGGCTTGCACGAAAGTGAAGAGTCATGCAGTCTTAAGCCATCAGTCGGAACAGCGGATCTAGGTCTAGGCGCTTCCGCATATAAGTTCTCGCACGTGCCCAGTTAGCTGTTGGCTAGGCAGCCTCTCCGTTCTCGACGTTGTGTTCCAGCGCCAGCCACTCCTCGTACACCTCCCGAGCACCTCATGGGCTTCTGCCGATGGGACTATCTACCCTAGCTTGTCTACAGGTCACATTTCATGCGACGCAAGGCACGCTGCACATCACCAACCAGTTCATTCTCAAGTATCAACCGCTTGAGCAGCTCGTCTTGCTTCTGGCTGTCCTGAGTCGGATCTTCGTGGAACGCACGCGCCGCAGAGAGCACACACGACGTGAGCACCCTGCCTGCGCAGCATCCGCATCCTGCGCATTCTCCAGTTGAAGCTGTGACTGTGGGCTTCGCCAGAGCTGCTCATCTCGCAGACGTCGGTGTCTTTCGACATCTGTGTTCAAAGCGCGGACGAGATGTTTGAGGATGTAAACGCAAAGGGACGAGTATTTGGCATCGTTTTCATTTCCGTTCAATCCACAGGACGGGCCATTCTTGTTTTCGGCCCTCACAAGCCGGACGATAGCGGGGCGAAGCTTGCTGCCCAAGTCCTTGAATATAGCACCATCTTGCTGCAACCATTGGAGGAAGGCACCCCGGTTCACACCTTTGTGACCCAGCACTGATTTCGCATTAGCGGCATTTGCGGTGTCCATCTTCGCTTCTTCGAAGCCTTCTTCGTGACACCAGCGAGCAAACTCAAAGGCCAGGCGTGCAATGACTTTGCTGGCTTCTTTCTCCAATTCGTCATTAACTGTGGGAGGTGGTCGTTTTTCCGGAGGTGGTGGGATGTATGGCTCGCCTGACGGCTGCACAGCAGGATGCACGTCGCGTGGACAGAGCCGCATCAGGGGACGGTCGAGGCGCACGACTCCCTTCACGTATGTTTGGCAAGCCCTGAAGGGCACGGATGCATACTCTTCACTGCCATAATCGCCAGCTGGAAGAGACCCAACCTGCGTAAGGAAGGCCCTGAATTCCACCTCAGGACCTTTGCCAGCTTCGGGAGGTGCAACTATCCGTCGCAAATCCAGGAATGCCTGCGCATGGTGCCACCTTGCCACTTTCGCCTGTGCAGCTTGGCCTTCAGGCAGTTCCTTGAAATCCACGGCGGCTTGTCCACTGAGTGCCGGAAACATGTACAGCCAAGTTCCCCCTGTCTGGCTTCCTGATGGATTCCGGCCTCGATCATCTCCGAGAGTGTTGAAGAGGCGCTGCAGCCACTCTCTACCACGGTAGCCCATCACTTCACGTCCAGACCACTCGACACGAGGGAGCATCTCCTCCGCCTCAATGAAATGCTCTGAATGACTGTCGAACAGTGCCTTGAACGTGTTGTGATCGATTCCACCAAATCCAGACTCGATAAAGGATCGGCAGGCAGCCAGCCGTCTCCAATGCTCGGCTGCATTGACTGCTTGAAGAGATGAGAAAGCATCGACGCCCACTTTTCCTTCAACCGCCGAATCCAGCACAAAGAACAATGCTTGCGCATCTGTCACTTCACCATTGTCATCCAAGCGCTTGATGCCAGCCAGAAATCCTGGACAGTCGATGCTCATAGCAGAAGGGTCATTCAACAGTGCCTGCAAGGCGGCGTGACCTGGACCGTTTGAGGAACTCAGAAAACCTTCGTCGCCTTCACCATAAACCACCTTCTCCAGTGCTGACAGCGAGCTTGGGACCGATGTCAATACGAGGGATGCCAACGACTGCAGCGACCGAAATGCCTCGAAGCCCAAGGCCTCGACAGCTGCATCGGAGTCTACAGTCTCTTGAAGGCTTGCGAAGGCAAACACCTGCTGAAGTGCGCCCTCGTCCGTATACCCCAGCTTCGTCGCTGCCGAAACGAAGGCTTCCCGTGTGATTGTCCCAGATTTCTGAATGTCCACCTGATGAAGCAGAGCCTCGACGGATCCGGTGGCGGAAACCAGCCATTTGCAAGCTTTTGAAGCAGCTTCCAAGTCTTTCAGGCGCTTTGTGACACCCAAAACTCGAAAGTCTTCTCGCGTTACATAGCCTGCTCGGCTGGAGTCCAATGCTACGAAGAAGGCTTCGACCTCCTCGGGCTCCCGTGTGACTCCCAGCTGCTCAAGGCCCAATGCGAAGCTTTGCCGCGTCAAGAAACCCTCGGCTTCTGCATCAATGCTTGAGAAAGCTGTCTCCAAGCTTCCGTGCTTCTCTACAAGCAGGCCATACAATTCTACAAGCTGCTCTGGTGTCGCTGGCACAGTGATTTCCAACAGTCGCAAGAAATCCTGAAGACCGATGCGTCCTCCTAGACCCGTCCGTGGTCGGCAAAGGAAGTTGAAAACTGCTGGACCGTCTTTTCCCGGAAAGCCAGCACGCATGAGGCTCTCCTCGAACTCTTCCATTCCAATGTCGAAAGAGATGTCTGGCTCCGTTGGGGAGGCTGGGGTCTCCGGTTCCGCAGGCTCCGCAGCCTCCTCGCCTTCTTGAGCCTTGCCTTCGCCTTGGCCTTCTTCTGGTGGCAAATCAATGTGGGGCAGAACCAGCTGGCCGTCGTTGAAGTCACAGCCCAGCACCCGCAAGCTGTAGCGGAGGGGATGTGACTCCAAAGGCCCTTCGGCTGTGCCAGGCTCGGGGAGTGGGCCACCAACGTCAAGAAGCTTCTGTGGCAAGTGGTACAAACCCTCGAGACGCACGGTAAGGATGGCCCAGTCATGCAAATCTTCCGGACACAGAATGCGTCCGATGGGGGCAGCTGTAGATATCTTAAGCAACAGCCGTCCATTCGGAGGCTCAGCGAAGCTTGGCAGCTCCTCCGGCTGTGCTGCATCCGCATCAGCCTCAGCCTCAGGCGCTTCAGCCTTGGCGGCCTCTGCCGCGGCCGCAGCCGCCGCTTCCTCAAACTCGGAGCGAAGCTCCCCCATCAACAAGTCCGACCACTTCAGCTCCACGTCGAGTTCCAGCGAGGCGGTGTCATGAATCAAAGCACTCATGTCTACGAAAGCTTCAGCTAAAGCAACGGGCGTTGGCCCATTACGGAAAAGCTTCAGCTGCAGGGGTGCGCACAAACTGTCGAGGAGCTGCTGCCTCAGGGCACAGCTATACGCAGCGAAGTCTTGATCATGCATTTTGGCTGATGAGCAAGCCGAAACCGGCCTCTCAGCATCGCTCTGGCACGGCTTCGAGATTCTGCACAATGCCGTCGGAGGGTCGATGGAGGCCGGACGAGAATCCTCCTGAGTCGCCGAGGTTCCAGAGCTGCCGATGCGCACAGACGCTAGACTGCTCGCACTGCTCGCTACCCGCCTCTTTCTTTTTCTTACCCGCAGCTGCCTCTGCCTGGCATGCAAGATGACAAAGGAGGCCAAAGGCAAAGCGCGGTGGTGCTTCCGATGCCTCAGCCTTGAGCCGCTTCGCCTCTGCAAGGGCTTCGAGCGACTGGAACAGAAACGGTCCAGGCTCGACGGACTCCTCAACGTGTCGGCACAGGAGACTCGCCCTCCTGCGCTCTACTTCGACGGAGTGCAGTCCTCCACCTGTGCCTCGGAAGCATAATCCTGACGGATCTAGGCATGCTGCAAGGCTGCAAGGATCATCCTATAATGACCACGCCATGATGCCACGAACCCTTGCCGCCGTCCTCTTGCAAGCCCAAGCCAGCTATTTGGATAAAAGCCACCTCTGGCTTCGGGAGCCCGAGTGCTTGGGCAATCTCGATGTGAAAAACGATCCCCTGGCCAAACGAAAACGCATACATGTTCGCAGCTGCTTGCAGTAGCAGAGAACCAGCCTGTTCCGGTGGCTTCAGTTCTTCATCCATCCTGTCTGGAAACAGGATGAATGCGATGACGACTGAAACCTTTCTTCCCTATAGTTCCTGCAACAAGTTCAGATCAAGTGCGCTGTTATTAGCACTGCCAAAAAACTAGGCCGCTAAAACCAGAACAGCAACCTGCCGCTCCGGCTTTGCTTGCTTCCGGCTATTCGAAAGCAAGGAATGATGCGAAGAAGGAGAGTCCTGGTAGAGAAGGCGTCTCGGCAGCTATCTGGCACCAAGCATTCGCCTCCAGCTGTAAAGGGACGGAACTTTGAGAATCGAATCAATATAGCGCTGTTGGTACACTGCCCCCCATTTTACCCACCCAGCCCAAGCCCTGCCAAGACCCAAAACACTCCGCCAGCGAGATGGAGGCAGCCGAGTCACCAAGGGGGCGACTCCAACTCGCCGGCCAAGCAACCCCTCCACCTCTCCACCTCTCCTCTACCTAAAAGTCTAAAGAACTTCACTTGAGCCTGGAAGCTGCTCCGACTCCGACTATCCCCTCATGCTACAAACTGTAAAGACCATGTCTGAAAACTCTATATGCGTGCTCTCCTCCCCTAGAGCATTGAGCACCAATCGCAAGGGATTGGCGGAAACCGGAGTGGAACACCCAGACAGTAGGCCTCCAGCACAACAGCCACCAACATGGCGACTGACGGTTTTGTTGAAGATGTGCAAAGGCCGAGGGCGACACTGGGCCCACTGTCAAATTCGTAGCCGTTTCTCGTGAACCTCTAGTCGGAGCATTGCATTCCGGTGCAGCGCGCTGCCAGTCTGAGAACCGGACGCGTGTGCTACCTTGCAGCTGTGCTGACAGGTGGACAGGGTGGAAGTTACGCATTCTCCCTAGTGGCGATTTGACTCTGGCGGGCGGGGTAAGCCGACACAACGGCAAGGGTGAATCACCGTTCTCCTGAGCACGGCCCTGTTCGGCATGCTCCCACAGCCCACACTTGCTACGAGAACCTGCTGTGTTAGGCTATGTTCTCTTCAGCTAGGGAGCTCCCGCGGCTGCGGAACCATGCTGCTTAGACACGTCGAGAGCAGTGAGAGTGAGACTAAAGCGGCGACCCCGCCGGGTACGTTGTGGGACTCGCAGACCAAGACCTCGCGCCCGGCGCGTGCCTAAGTCCCAGATGCAAAACATTGCAATATTTCTTGATTTACGCAGGCCTGGGCTCCACACCAGCATACCAGCACATGCCAGACCACCAAATCCAGATCCTTTCTCATGTGCCAATCTGCGCATCTGCAAGATGCTACTATATGCTAGTCCGCCAATCAGGGTCTTCGATATCCAGCTCTGCGAAGAGATGCAGGGATCCGAAGCTTCAATCTGATGCTGCGGCCTATGACAACGACGTCCACTTCGCCATCCTTGGATGTCTACATATGCTTAGTCGTGCGCGTCCCGCAGCACGGAGAAGCTGAACGACATCAGAGCCAGAGCTATAAACAGCTAAATTGTGCTGTTGCATCTTCCCGTGCATCGTGAGCATAGACAGTAGGTGTCTGTGTCTCCCAGAGAAGGCATATCGGCAGGCTTGAAAACTCGAAGGCAAAACAAATTCTTGGGATTTCTCAGGATCGTACCTGCTTGCTGCTGGCAGCGGTGTTGTGGCGTTGTCCGAGCCTGACCACCGCGCAAGGCAAAGTGACTTGGGTGGAGTTTTATTTAGCCATTAGGGCCTTTGTATTTCTGGGCTGGCTTTCTTGAGGAAACCCTCCTACGGCCAACCTACTCTCAGCGAACATCTGGTCTTTGATGCTTTTCAATGATGAGAAACGGGATGTACGCTAGTTTACTACTCCCTTTTTGTACATGCATGTATACATATATAAATATTTACTCAGATTTATGTTTAATATGTACATATGCTGTACAGACTCTCTATACATTCATACATACATACATACGTACGTTTGTCCGGACGTACGGACGTACGGACAGACAGACAGACGGACAGACAGACATATACGCATACACGCATATACACGCCGGACCTATGTGTATGCGTAAGTGTGCATGTATATACATAAATATATATATATATATACATATATATATATATATATACATACATATACATATACATATATATATATATGGATGGTACCCCCAAAAACCCACGCCCTCATGTTCATTACAACGAGCTTAATCTTCGACTGTAGAAAGCTGCAGCTCAGGCTCTGGAGTTCGGGGACTCGTGACGCAAGATACTCTGATGCTCGACATTAGTTCCACTGCTGGCAGTGCTATATGCTTCCCCGCGGCACGAAATGCTTTGATGCTGTAGTCCGCTGTTCCACTGACTCCAAAGTCTCCACAGGGTATGCATTGATATCGCAACACTATCTTCCACATTTCCATAATGGCAAGAGTAAATACTTCCACAATTCCGGATTTGCGGAGGCTAACTCTTCCGGAATTCCAGATTTCCAGAATTCCAGATTGGCGGGGGCTGACAATTCCAGAATTCCAGATTTGCTGAGGCTAATCCTTACAGAATTCCAGAATTTCAGATTTCCAGAATTCCAGATTTCCAGAATTCCAGATTTTCAAATCTGGAATAATTCTAGATCTGATAAATCTGGAATTGGAAATCTGGAATTATTATAGCTCTTGCCAATCTGGAATTCTGGAATTTTGGTGACCTCCTGATTTGTGGCGGTTAATAACTCCAGATTTGCGGGGGCTAACAATTCCAGAATTGCAGTTCTTAGAGATTTCCAGAATTCCTGATTATGCGATCTGCAGTTCTATTTCAGATTCTACAATCTGGAATTCTGGAATGATTATCTCTTGCTTTCTAACCGGTACCAGATTTAAGAAATCCCCTATATCCGTAAATTCTCTAGATTTCCTCACCCAGAGGCCCGATGTACTGCATGTAGTGAATTTACTTCTGACCCTCATGGTTAGGATTCAAAGGTTCCCATGACTGAGAGGAAATTTCGGGAACTAATGACTCCGTTAAACCCTTATGGGGATAAGGATCAAGGAATTTGGTCAATTTATGGAAGTAAGGAAGTCCTTAAAGGCAAGACATGGGATGCACATGGGCGTCACGCCACTTGGAAGCCTGACTTTCCCTTGCCAGCTGACTTGTGCAGACTGCTCAACGACAAAGCCGATGCCGCTGCGCGCGATGTCATGCGCAGAAGGCACCACAACTCTGCACGTGCCACTTGGCATCGACGACGACGCGAAGCTCTGGAATGGAGCAAGCAGGCCATCAACCTCTCTGCGCAGGCGGGCGGGGCTTACAGGCTGTGGTGCGAGAAGCGACGCCTTGCAAGGCCCAAGAATGGGCAAAACGATGACGACGACGCAGCTGCTGATGGGGCGGCGGCTGCTGGGGCCGCTTCTTCGGGCGCGGTGGCTGCTGGCGCGGTGGCTGCTGACTCGGTGGCTGCTGGAGCGGTGGCTGCCGGCGAGGTGAACTGAGTGCGACCACGAGCTCCTCTGAAAACACTGTGTACAGTCTGAGTGCTTGAGCCTGCTGGTAGTCTCGCTCTCTCTGTAGTGGTACTGGCTGTCTGCTTGTACTTCCGAAAGTGTAGTTCGCGAACGCTTTGAAGCTTTCTCTAGCTTAACAAACCTTGCTAGAGTGATGTTGGCCTAAGTCCTTTAAAAGTCCCTTATCCACCAAACTACAACTCGACTGGTGAATTTCCAGATCTTGGGCTCTTCCTGATTCTCCCTATATACATCCTTTATCTACAACGTATGCAGGAGGGTACCCAATTCTATAGGGTGTTTTAGAAGGCAAACAAAAGGTACATCATGGACATATAGCAGGTATTATACCCAGTATTATTCTCCTAGTTATCCCCTTGTGAATCCTTAATATCTACAAAATATTCGATAAGGCATTCTATGGTGCATTTCAAGGGTATTCTATAGGATTGTGTTCGGGGTTTTCTATGGGGTATACAGAAGGTATCAGACACAGGGGGTGTTCTATGAGATAGTTGAAGGGTATCGCAGATGGTTTTCTATAAGGCCTATAAAACGGCGCATTATGTACCGTATTTCTTTGGGCATTCTATATATGGTATTCCATAAGGCGTTGTATAAGGGATTCTATACAGCATAAACGTAAACGTAAACAGTGTATTGTAGAAAGTATTCTATAAGGTAATCTTGAGGCTATAGGGTATGCAATACGGTGCGTGTACGGTATATAAGAGTACTTTATAATGTATTGCCTGGTTAGTCTATGTGCCAATTGTTAAGGTTTGTAAATGGATGATAACGGGATTCTATAAGATATTCTCTTCGATTCCTGATTTCTTCCTAGAAACCCCTTACCCCATAAGCTACAGTTTTAAAGGGGTTCTCAAATCTTGCGTTCGTCAGGATTGTCCGTTTACACATCCTTTGGTTGAAGGGTTATCTATAGCATATTCTATAAAGGCATATATACGGTATACAGGGGCTATCATATACAGGACCGTAGCAGGTTGCTATATGGTATTCTATAGAGTATTCCAGATGGTCTTCATCGATATATAGAGGGGATTATGCATTCCATTAGGTATTTCGTAAGGCATTCTATGTGGTATTCTACAGGGTTCCATAAGGCATTGTATAAGGTATTCTATAGGGTAGATATACGGGAGATTCCTGAAAATATATATCCGCCGAGGCCAAAGGCCCAGGCGTCTTGGGGATTACCTCAGGTACCCTCCACCTAATCCTCCTCCCTGCAGTCCGAAAGTCTGGAGACACCCGCTTTTTGCATTCATTTGCCACCCCCTTGCCCAGCTTCCCTTCATTTTACCGGATTTTCTGGCCTTCCCGCCCTGATCCCCTCTTTTCCTGCTGTTTTTTGCTGTTTCCCCCCTCCCCACCCGCTCGTGCCCAGCCGCACACTGACAAGCCTCGCTGAAAAAGCAGCTCTTCGGCGCCCCCGCACCTGTTGAATCGTGGGAGTCCTGCTCAAAGAAATCTCAATATAGCAGCCGTGACCGGAGCAGATTTCCTCAGTGATACAGAAGGGTTTGCCGTTTCATCCGGCGTAGCGTTAACATTATGAGGTCTTCTAGAGGCTAGAGGGTATTCGATAAGGCATTAAGGTATTCTATGTTAATGTCTTCCAAATGAAAAGTTTATAAGATATGCATAGAGGAGTTCTTCTAAAGGTTATCCTATCATGTGCTCCATATAGTGTATTGTATAGGGCGCCGTATGGGTATATGCAATATAAGGCGTGCGGGTTCCGGTGTATCATATATAGGTGGTCTTTTATCAGGTACATCTTTACAGGGCAATCTAAATGGTGTTCTAGACGGTGTATATATATATATGTCTATATATGTAAAAAACATATATATATATATATATATACAAAAAATATACAAGGTGTAAAAGTGGAAGTGCACAATGTATCCTAAAGGTACTCTCAAAGGTATTCTATTGGTTACTCCACAAGGTATTGTAGAAGATATTCTATAGAGTATGTACAGGTGTATTCTATAAGGTATTCCGTTATCTTTGTAAACCCCTCACTAAACAAGCTTCGATTTGTTCAAGGATTTCCTAGATCCTAGATTCTGCATTGCCTTCATTTAAACCCCTGGGTGTTCACACACGACATGCATTCGTACACGACTGCTTCTCGTGTTGCAAAACAACGCGAACTTGCACGTATGTTCTGTATGCATCTACCCAAGGAGATTTTTACATGCAGCAGCATGGGCTCTGAAAGTGACATGCAGCAGGAGAGCAGAGGTACCTCAACACATAAACACAGTGTCACGGTAAGTATAGATATAAGACTTGGAGCCTGTTTTTTTTACCAACTCCGATAAGACGCACCGAGATTGCAGATAGTGTGCATGAACACGAAATTCATCGACATTGACGGGGCTTTCCGCCCACATCTGCAACAACACGAAGACCCACACCAGTTGCAGGGTCGAGGTTGGTCTCGGCGGGGGTTACCATACCGAGCTTTGTGTACTGATATCGATTTGTCACGGGGCTCCGCATCTAGATTACATGGGTTCTGCGGGTTTTAATGGGGGGTAGCATATATGTATGTATATATAAATACATATACATATATATATATATATATATATATATATATATATATACATCATGCAGGGCTGCCACACCCCCCCTCCCCCCCCCACCCCATGGTATCCTCCCCCCTTCACCCCCGCCCCCCCTGTGGTGTGGGGCCTCTGGTGGTACTCTTTTTGCCGCGACGTTCTTATGTGTTGCTCCTTGCTTCCCTCTTGCTGCGGCACCGGTGATACTGCTCATGATGTTGTGCTGCTCCAGACCGGGACATGAGTCTACAATCAGACCATGCCCAACATCATCCTTGTCGTCGTCATCTTCATCATTAATACCTTCAAAAGAATATCTGCCACCATCACCATCGCCATACAACCCTCATAATTCAGCATTGCAATTCATGTCAGGTGCTGGAAACTACTGCGCGGATTGCCGCTTTCCGCACACGGCAGGGCAGAGTCCGACACTCCCGATCCGCGCACAAGGTCAAGAGGCGGGCAAGGTGTGGGTGGGGGGCGGGTCGGGGCGGGCAGAGCGGGTGGGCGTGCAGCGGCAGCAGGGAGGGGGGGGGGGGTGGCGCGGCTGCCCCCCCCAATGATATCCCCCCACCCCCCATGGTGCGCGGATCCGGGGTGTCTCGCTATGTCCTGCGGTGTGCGGAAGCGGCAATCGGCACAGTAATAGTTTCCAGCATCTGACATGAATTGCAATGCTGAATTATGAGGGTTGTATGGCGATGGTGATGGTGGCAGATATTCTTTTGATGGTATTAATAATGAAGACGACGACAAGGATGATGTTGGGCATGGTCTGATTGTCGACTCATGTCCCGGTCTAGAGCAGCACAACATCATGAGCAGTATCACCGGTGCCACAGCAAGAGGGAAGACAAGGAGGAACACATGAGAACGTCGCGGCAAAAAGAGTACCACCACAGGCCCCACACCACAGGGGGGGCGAGGGGGGGAGGGGGGAGGATACCCGGGGGATGGGGAGGGGAGGGGGTGCGTGGAAGCCCTGCATCATGCATACATATACATATATATATATATATATATATATATCTGTGTGTATGTGTGTGTGCGCGCGTGTATATATATGTATATATATACATACACACATATACAAAAACCTTATACAAACATACCCGAAGATACGATTGATAGACACTACCAATGCTATAGCTATCCTAGATACTGCGGATACTGTAAATACTGTTACTATGGATTCCGCACGTACTCTCTCGGCGAAAAGCACCACCTCCTAAGTGACACGCTCGATCTTGGCAAAAGCCAGCTACCAAGAGCCACCAATTGTACTTTCCCCACGTGTATGCTCTGCAACAGACACTTTCGATGACCGTGACATTTGCAGGAATTTCAGCACGCGTGCTAGCATTGCCCAGGCAGATGCTCGCCATCGCAGGCACCCGCTGAAAACACATATGAGTGGCATGGCACATCAATACTGTCATTCCCCGTCTCGACGCTCGATTTCGCCAAGCACCTGCCTGCACTTGCTCAAGACACACACACACACGCACACCTGACAGCACATCAAAAACAACCATTCCCCATGTAGACGCCCGATTTCGCCAAGCACGAACTCAAGACCTCGCTCAACACACACATCGGTGGCTGCTCAGCGCCAGAACTTAAACCTGCGCGATGCCCGCGCCAGCTTCCGCGAGGAACGCGCGACCTCCAACCCCATACCTACCAACCGGCAGCCAAAACCTGGTGCCCAGCCTTGCCCAGCACACTTGTCAGACGGTGCGATGTCACGGCGAATACACACCACCATCAAGACGCCCGTGTGGACAACACGCCCAACCAACAGACAAAGCACCCAACCTAACAAGCCTTGTGCTCTGCGGCGACGCCTAGGACCAACTAAAGTAATAACGATGCTTATGTACTGGTGGTACTGAAGACTAAGATACTGTAGATACAACCAGCACTAGGTAGGTTTGTCGGTATGTAGGTATGTAAGTATGCAGGTATGTAGGTATGTCTGTCTGTATGTAGGTATGATAGTATACTTGACCTTCATTAGCCCAGACTTTGCCAACATTCGCTCAAGCACATGAGCACTTTGGGACAGCCCAGAGAAAAGCCCTGGCAACTTCAGGGATACTTTAGCTTCGAAGTTGAGTGAGCTGTGCACATCTACTTTAGGGTAGTTCGTGTGCTATTCTGGTACGCTGTACTTTCGCAAGTCAGGCAGGTAGGCACTGGTATGTATGTATGTTATGTGTGTATATATATATATATACATATATATATATATATATACATATATATATATATATACATATATATATATATTAGGTATTATACGTCCATACATACATACATCGTTCCGATATCCTGCCAACTGACTGCTCTACTTGAGAGCTGGTTGCGGAACAGCGTAATTACAGCTCAAGAATGGCAGAGGTGGTGACTCCGTTTCTCTGATCTCTAGTCGCGGAACTACACAATCAGCTAGGAGGTTCCTGGTCTACGCTCCCAAAGAGTGGCAGAGGTTCGTAGCTTTCCAACCGGCACTAGCTGCAGAACAGCGGCCAGCGTGCATTTCGAAGTGGAAGATTTGATGGCTACGTTTTTCTGAGCTCTTGCATTTGGTTCGTTTGGGAGGGTCGCTTGCGTCTTCGTGTGCCCGAGCTGACTCCAACCTGTACAGCTTCTGTAAACTCGTACGAGACGTCTTCAGCTTGTGGCTCTCTGTGCACAGATAGTGACACCTTCTCCGGCGGTGCGGTACCTCCACCATCTATAGTCCGCAGTCCTACCTGTAGCATCAAAGAGTCTTTCTAGTATCTCCAATGTTTGCAGCATTTCTGGAAGTTTTGGTATTTTACTATTTATTACATACGTGCTTACGCACAGACATACATACACATAGGTACATACGTGCATACCTATTCGCCTGTACACATACATACAGTACATAGCAGTGTATATTAGTATATTAGTACACTTCCCATTGAGCAGATTGGTGTGCAAATATACAAAAAATAGATATATGAATAAATACACACACGCGCACACACACAGATATATATATATATACATACAGATACACACATACACATGTAACATGTAACATGTACATAGCTAGCTCACATCATGGGCATTATAGTACAGTACACGTAATATGCTGATTTAACCCATGATCATTGTATCACTATGTCTTTATCTATCAACGTGCTGGTCGGCTGGTCCTTTTCTTTCCTTCTTATTCACGTTGTTGGTTCGTTGTTACGTTCTTCATACTTCATCCCTTTCTTCCTGCCTGCCTTTCTTCCTCCCTTGCTTGCTTCATTTCTAGAAGTGCTCCAGTCAGTCATTCTTTCCTTGCTTCCTGTGCCCGCGACAAACCCCCGCCCAAAAAAGCAGACCGAAACCCACGCCCTCCGCACCGAGCTAGCAGTTGCTTGGGCAGCCTCTGCCTTGCCCGCAGTGTCCAGAGGGCGCAGAAGGGCACCTGTTGTTGAATCCCGATCTTTCAACATACGGCATACACTCAGACTTGATTCAGCTGCCGAGGTGCCGACGCTGAAGCCACTGACCCCGGATCTCAAGGAGCTAGTTCCTGCTATCATGCGCCAACCGCCAAGCCGCCAAGCCCATAGAAAGTCACAGAAGGCTCCTAAATCTGAAGTCATCGCGGACCGTCGTGCATTTTTACACAGGCACGTCGTCACCAATCTCCCCACAGGGATCATTGGCGGAAGCGATTGCTTCCACCCAAGCTTTGAGAGCAGAAGCATCACTGACGCGCAGGACCAGCTTCTTCACATGGAAGGCCTGGAAACCTGTCAGAAGGAAATCCCAGATTGAAGCGAGTCGAAGGGTCCGGCCAGCTTAGAATCAATCAAGTTGCGGCCGTCTCGCAACAGAACCACCAGCTGGAGCCCACCCAGTCCGGTCTTCGAACTGCTAGAGGCCGTCTCCTGCAACAAAGGATACATCGGATACATTGAGACAAACCGTGTGCATTGTCAATGGGTCCGAATCTGCGCCATGTTCGCACAGGGTGAACGTAAGCCTGTCCAGTCGCAAGCGGTTTAAAGGATCATCAGTCTGGTCCAGGTATAAGGGTCACGCCGCGGAGGATCAACAGCCTCAGTTGAAGTCCCAGGCTTAGGAGTTGCGAAGCATCCCCTGCTGCATATGCCACCACTAAGCCTAAGCCTTTTTCAGCAAAATAACGCGAGCCAAGCGGCTGCCAGTTTTGCAGACTTCGTGTGCAGGAATGCAAACGGGTTCAGGCCAGGCCCGGCTTCCATCTCAAAGAACAGCATCGGCCCACAAAGTGAAAGCCACACCTTGAGCGGCTCGCCCAAGCTTAAATTAAGCAATGCTGGGGGGGTGCTCAGACGATGTCGGATAAAGGTCAACTCGTCACTTGCATTTCTTCCGCCGTTGCATCTTAGATAGAACAGATTCGTGGGATTCGTGCTTCCATGTGCTTTCCCTGTTCCCACATTTCCGCACAACTTTGAAAAAGTTAACTTTACGGCTTTGCACAGTGATCTGACTCGAGTCCCCCGCGGCTTCGGAATGGGCGTCCTGAGAGCACCGGGAAGGCGCGAACATGTGAAATGTTAGTCGAGACTTCTTCGTCCAGGGCGCGAGAATTCCTTGAGCCTTCGCCTGAGCTCAGACTTAGCGCGGTCTGGCATTGAAGCTATGACATGCCAGGATCTGAGGGCATCGCGACAGGGGAGCCGCCCGTAGACTGGTCCAGACTAGACTGCATGCGGGCTGATGCTGTGGACTCACCTGGGCTCTCTGTCTCTCTCCCCCTTCTTCCACAAAGACAAGAGGAGCAATCACACCGCCCCTCTGTGGCAAGTGCGCGCCGGTTAGTTTGGTCTGCTGCAAGCACTGTCTACAGAGAGGTCCGAGGGGCGAGCCCCGTTCAGTAACAAGAGCCCTCTATCCTATCAAAGTACTCCAAGCCTCATCGGCTCCGCTTTTATTCTCTCTCTCTCTCTCCCTCTCTCTCGCTCCTCTTCTGAGGGGCTTGTCAGGCCCCCCGGCCTCGTGGGCCCCCCGTTTGTTACGGGGCTTTTCGGTGGGGCGTGAGAAAACATGGGTTCTCCCGGGTTTCACAAGAGAATGTACTCTCGCTCTCTCTCTCTCTCTCTCTCTCTCTCTTTCTGAGCAGTCTGTCAGTGTGGCCCCATTCGGGGGTGGGGGATTTTCACGTTCCCTCGAGTGTACCTGTGATACCCATCCGCCAACAAACACCCCCTCCTGCCTGCTGCTCCTGCCTGCTCCTGCCTGCTCCTCCTGCCTGCTGCTCCTGCCTGCTGCTCCTGCCTGCTGCCCCTGCCTGCTGCCCCTGCCTGCTGCTCCTGCTGCCTCCTGCGCTGCCTCCTCCTCCCCCTCCTCCCCCTCCTCCTCCTCCTCCTCCTCCTGCTCCTCCTCCTCCTCCTCCTGCTCCTCCTGCTCCTCCTGCTCCTCCTGCTCCTCCTGCTCCTCCTGCTCCTCCTGCTCCTCCTGCTCCTCCTGCTCCTCCTGCTCCTCCTGCTCCTCCTGCTCCTGCTCCTCCTGCTCCTCCTGCTCCTCCTGCTCCTCCTGCTCCTCCTGCTCCTCCTGCTCCTCCTGCTCCGCTCCCCTGCTCCCCTGCTCCCCTGCTCCCCTGCTCCCCTGCTCCCCTGCTCCCCTGCTCCCCTCTGCTCCTCTGCTCCCCTGCTCCCCTGCTCCCCTCTGCTCCCCTGCTCCCCTGCTTCCCTGCTCCCCTGCTCCTCCTGCTCCTCCTGCTCCTCCTCCTGCTCCTCCTGCTCCTCCTGCTCCTCCTGCTCCTCCTGCTCCTGCTGCTCCTGCTGCTCCTGCTGCTGCTCCTGCTGCTGCTCCTGCTGCTGCTCCTGCTGCTGCTCCTGCTGCTGCTCCTGCTGCTGCTCCTGCTGCTGCTCCTGCTGCTGCTCCTGCTGCTGCTGCTCCTGCTCCTGCTCCTGCTCCTGCTCCTGCTCCTGGTCCTGCTGCTGCTCTGTGCTCCTGCTGCTCCTGCTCATGCTCCTGTGTCCTGTGTCCTGTGTCCTGGTCCTCTGTCCTCTGTCCTCTGTCCTCTGTCCTCTGTCCTCTGTCCTCTGTCCTCTGTCCTCTGTCCTGTGTCCTCTGTCCTCTGTCCTCTGTCCTCTGTCCTCTGTCCTCTGTCCTCTGTCCTCTGTCCTCTGTCCTCTGTCCTCTGTCCTCTGTCCTCTGTCCTCTGTGTCTCTGTGTCTCTGTGTCTCTCCTGTCCTCTGTCCTCTGTCCTCCTGTGTCCTCTGTCCTGTGTCCTCTGTCCTGTGTCCTCTGTCCTGTGTCCTGTGTCCTCTGTCCTCTGTCCTCTGTCCTCTGTCCTCTGTCCTCTGTCCTCTGTCCTCTGTCCTCTGTCCTCTGTCCTCTGTCCTCTGTCCTCTGTCCTCTGTCCTCTGTCCTCTGTCCTCTGTCCTCTGTCCTCTGTCCTCTGTCCTCTGTCCTCTTGCTCTTGCTCTTGCTCTTTCTCTTTCTCGTTCTCGTTCTCTTTCTCTTTCTCTTTCTCTTTCTCTTTCTCTTTCTCTTTATCTTTCTCTTTCTCTTTCTCTTTCTCTTTCTCTTTCTCTTTCTCTTTCTCTTTGCTTTGCTTGGGGAGCAGTCCTCCCTCTCGCTTGCTCTGTCTCTCTCTCTCTCTCTCCAGCTTTGCTTTGCTCGGGGCTTGGGGCGGGAGCAGTCCTCCCTCTATCTCTCTCTGTCTTTGCTTCGCTTTGCTGACAGAATGGGCCCGGCTGTACTTTTTTTTGCTTGCTTGCTTGCTAAGGGGTGTGGGTGCATGCAGGCACGCACCCTGGCCCGAGGGCCTACCCCCCTGGCGCGCAAAGGTTCGCCCTCAATGCCCCTTTCCGGGGTTGAGGGGTTGACACATTCCCGCGGGTACCTTTCCCCCAACCAGACCTAAGCTCAACCAATAAGACCCCGATGGTCCCACTCGCGTCGTCTGTGGCCCCTCCAACTCAAACTACCAGCATGCGCAGGGGCGATTGCTCTTCTAAGTGGAAAACAGGATCCTTAAAAGCCATACACTACAGAAGCCTAGCACCAGCATCGAAGGATTCGCCGCAAGGATCGCTCTCAACACTCAAACATGACCTGAGGCAGCAAAACACAATTTGGAAACAAGGTTTGCTGACTAGGCTCCAACCCCTGCGACTTGTGCTGACAAGTGCTACTTGCGGTTTTTGTGTTTGTGCGCTTGTTGGCAGCGCAGGTCCCCTCATCAGGAAGCACGTCAAGTCAGGCTAAAACCAACATAGAGGGTAAAACACACCATGGGGTCCCCACATTGCTGGGTGTGGGTGTGCTGGTGGATGGGTAGCGCTTGCCTTTGGGTTAGGAAGCAAGGGGGCAAAGGTAAAGCGGCATCAGGGAACAACACACACCTGAGGCTTCCGCATACCCGTAGGTGGATGCATGGTGCTTGTTGCCGTTTGTATGTTTTGGTAAACATGGTAAGCCCCCGAATAATTGCGTGCAAAATCACACAGACGAGTGTTAGGTAGCGTCTGAGCCCCGACGGAAAAGTTAAGAGTAGGAGCTCGGGCGTCTTTCTATGCTTTGAGCCCCACCAGAAGTAGTAGAAAAGATTAGTCTTGGTGTAGTTCTGCCATTAGCGTCTCTCTACGCATCAGTTAGAAACTGTTGGAGAGAGCGTCTCTCTGCGCCCCGTGGCTTGAAAGGAAAGGTAATCCTGCCATCGGCTTGTTCTACTCTTTTGACAGAAAGGTGTGGAAGGGAACGTCTCTGAGCGTCTTCTACGCGCCAAAGGAAAAAGCGGCTTGAAAGGATAACGACGTCTCACAACGCCTGGGAATCACAAGGACAGAGAAGAGTGGTGGGAGAGCTACGACCGAGTTCAAACCTAGAGCTTTGTCCCTCAAGGTCGCAAAGATACAGAAATTGTAGGCAGACTGCCCCAGCTTAAGCTGCTACCCAGTGAGACAGGTACGACCTCAACGGAAAAGGTTGTGCACTGGTCGTAAAAGGCTCGGATTCGGAGTGCTTAATAATTGGGTGCTTAGTCTCAGTGGGGCTCGTGCTCTGCTGGTCCTGACCTGACCTCATCATGCATCCCCGTCTGGCTCCCCGTCTTCGTCGCCAGCTGCTGCTTCTTGCGACGATTCCATTGCTAGTCGTCGGTTGTGGCTTGTCACAGCCGGTGCTGGGTAGTGGAGGCTCGTATTCTTCATAATGTAGCAGTTAGCTTGATCTTGAGGTAGTACTCCGATTTCTCCCAGTTTAAGTGTAGTGGGCGGCCGACGTGGTGGGACAGCGGAGGGCGTCAGCGATGCAGTAGGTTGTCCCCGTGCCCTCAGGAGTCTGCAAATAAAGGTTCCTGCAGTTTCCGCCTTGAGCTGGTGGCCACTCTCACGATTTTGTAGGTGTGGACGTATGGCTCAGCTACTTTTTAGGGCTGGGCCTTTTACTTGTGAGAGTGCTGCCCCCTTCCCGCTAAGGGGGTCAGCACCCTCTCGAGACTGCGATGGTCGGGGCAAAGATGTAGATGTCGGACCACCTCGAGCCAAAATGGCTACTTTTTCTCGTTTCTTTCTTTTGCCAGGGCTATGGTGAGAGGGATTTCCCCCCTCACCGCGCGCTTGTGCGCCCCCGACTGTTGCGGGTCCCAAAATGTTGCAGTCACGATAGTCACGCACTCAAAGGCAAGTTTAGAAACACAAAAACTTTTTCTCTCTATTTCTCTATCTCTCTCTCTCTCTCTCTCTCTCCCTCCTGGGCATGAGGGACGGTCAAGTCCCCCCGGGCATCATGCCCACCCAACGTGTTGTTGGGCTGAAGGGGAGTGAGAAACGAGTGGAAGTCATCTAAAGCTGAGGCCATACATGATACCATATCGGACCAATATCGGACCGAGATGACTGTACACTCTCAAAGGACACATGCATTTTTGCCAGCTTGTTCCCCCTATGTGGAGGGGTTTTTTGGTAGGCAGCACAGCCATAAAGTTAAGTTTCGGTGAGTTATCGCTGGATTTGACTGGACCGCTTCCACCTGTCTCTCTTCTATCTCTCTCTCTCTCTCTCTCTGCCTCTCTCTCTCTTCCGGGTGGGAGGCAGGGGCGTTCAGGCCCCACCCCGTTCGGTCCGCACACCCGCAGCTCTTGGCGGGAAAGATTCCCCCTTCAGTTTTCCCCAGGGAGGCTCGGCTGTGCGAACAAAGAGGTGCCGGTCTTTATGCTGAAACGTTTACCTGAGAGGTCTCTAATGCCACACAACAACAAAGGACTAAAGGTTAGCAAACTGCAAAGCTTCCCCCTGTTCAG